ATGATTCTCACGCAGTTTAGTTCATCTAAAAAGACACTTTAGAAAAAAAGGGGGGGGGGAAGTAAATTAAAGATTTCTTCGGAAATACAACAAATGAAGCGACTGCAATGGAAGGAAGGGTAGGTGCAATATCTATTGGATGAAATGAATTGATTTGACAACAATCCTTCCAAAACAATTAGAAGCTTTTTTTTAAAAAAAAGAACCATATACGTTTTTGGCACTATTGGTCTAAAATGTGACTTTATGAATAACCTGAAAACAAGTTGTTCTGCTAATATCTTCAAGTTCTAACTTTGTCATCTGGATGGGAAAAACCTTGAGAATAATTTGCTGAGCCCTTTGAAGGAAAAATGAAGCTTCAGTGCAGTAAACTAAAATACAAGGAATGGTGAAAACAATTCTTTAAGCCATTTTTTTTCTACAAAGTGAAATCATTATCATTTCTAGATATTAAATCTTACATATGTTGCTAATGCTCCATAAAACAATGGTGGTGGTGGGGATGCTAATCCTGATAACAGGATAGTAAAGATAGCTCGATGGTTTAATTGAAGCCAAGAAAACACACAAAGAGAGTCAGCACATCCTATGAGACCAGAAAAACCCAGAGATTCCCTTTATCTTTTCCGCAAACATTATTTAAAAAGGCAAGGAGCCCACTTGGTTCCAAAAGAGCCACTTTATTTTCTAAGAATCAATAGAGATCTTCTTTCTCCAAAATAAATACAAGTACAAATGCCCTCCCGGCTGCAGCAGAAAGAGCCGGGTTTCTACAAGGGGGGGAGGGGGTTGAGGGCGGGGAGGGGTCAGGCAGAGTCCAAAAAGCTATAGTATCAAAATGTGCAAGTGAGAAGACGGTGGCCCTGCTCTGCAGAGTGACGGTAGGGCTGGGCCAAGGAAAGGCTGATAGATCTGGACAGGTGCTATGATGCAGGGAAACGGGGGCCAGACTCTGTATGTTGGGAGGGGTAGGTGTACGGAGCAGCCCAAATAATTTACATTCTCCCACTATGATACAGTATCTTACAAAAGTCTAGAGCCTTAAGACCCAGAGGGTTAGGGTACTGCCCATAGGAGCTATGCAGGCAGCTGGGTATTGCTCGTGCAGCTGGTCAGGGCAATTCCAGGCATGGAACAAGGAAGGGCAGGCTGGCACAAGAGGTAGGCTTTGCCCACGTGAAGGGCACAGTGCTCTGTGGGTGTGCCCAGCACACTGGAGGAGCGGTTGGGTGCTCTGTGCGTGTTCCTGCAGCAGCCAGGCTTCCCAAGGCTGGAGCTCCCTGCTCCCTTCTCCCGTACAGTCCAGCTGCACTGAGTGAGCACCCAGGGCGGGAGCCCCTCGGAGGGTCAGTCGCTCTCGCTGGAGTCGCTGGTCTGCTCTCCTTGCACCTTGTTCCGGTGCTGCATGGCTCGGTGATAGGCAATCTGGACAGACTTGCGGATGTTGGACTTGCGGCCTTCCAGCATCTTCTCCTTATCCAGGTCCTGGTTTACGCCGAGGGGCACGAGTTTGGTGCGGGGCAGCCATTGCCTGCAGGAATGGAATGTGCGAAAAGTCACTAGAGCTCGGTTCACTCCCAAAACAAGAGGGCTATTCTGTCCGTCCCCCCCCCCGGTTCCCGTTCTTCTCAATTAATTCTCCCAGCCTCGATTGAGCTCTGCTCCTTTCTTGTAGTTTTTAATACCTGGGAAAGAGTGAGCTTCAGTCAGGGGTGGCCTGCTGGGGGTTTGCAGGGGTTCAGGAGAACCTCTAGCTAAGATTCTATGCAGTTCAGAGAACGCCCAAATCCCACTCCTGGCTGGCCCTGCCCGCCCCTCCCCTCCCAGGAGTCCTCATGCGGCCTGTTTGGATGCAGGTAAATGCCGGACGCACGTGGAGGGTCGGTGAGGGGAAAAAATGGGCCTACCGGAAGTTTGGGAAGGCCGAAAATGGGCCCATTT